CCAACTGAAAATTCCAAAACTGCCTTGGGGGGGGGGTGAGTTTGAGGTGTGGATTGGAGTGTAGTCCAATCAGCTTCCATATGTAAATGACCTTGGAACGCTGGCCGGGACTGCACAAAGCAGCCAATGAACCCAGCCAGTGTCTTCCGAGTGGCAGTTTTTTCGGCCTAACACTAAAGGGGCCAATTTTAGAATTCTGGCACCCCAAACTCTTTTATAATAAGGGAGAGATATGTGGCTCCGCCACACCCTGAGCTCTGTATAAAAGCACATCTGGCCCTGCCATGGTGGAAGGGAGAGGAGCTGGGGCAGCTGTGTTACTTTGGGGCATTGTCCTGAGGTTGTGCTTCAGGCCAAGAGGTAGGGACTCTTTTATAATAAGGGAGAGATATGTGGCTCCGCCACACCCTGAGCTCTGTATAAAAGCACATCTGGCCCTGCCATGGTGGAAGGAAGAGGAGCTGGGGCAGCTGTGTTACTTTGGGGCATTGTCCTGAGGTTGTGCTTCAGGCCAAGAAGTCAGTTTTTGCCGTCTGAACTGGGGTCTCCGTGGAGCCATTCTTCCTTTATAAGCACTAAAGTCACTGCCATAAACCTGGGGCTCTAGAGGTGACATCAGCTCTTGGTGGAAGAGGGAGGCTTACAGAGGGAAGTAAAGAAGTGTCATCTTTTGATAACTCCAGCGGCCTATGCAATGTGGTTGCCTTCAGACCCACAGTGTTCTCCATAACTTTACCCAAGGAGAGACCACGAAGAAGCTGTTGAACTTTCAAGGCTGGTGTATTCATTGTAGTCTGAACTGTTCCATGCAAGAAGTGGGTGGAGCCAGCATCAGATCCATCAGTTGAACCCCCCCCCCCATCTTTCTTATCACATTGTTTCCTCCCTCCTCCACTGTATCCTCATAGCAACCCTGTGACGTAGACTAGGCTCTGTTATTGGCCCAGGGCATCAAATGAACTTGCATAGTGGAGTGGGGATTTGTACCTGGGTCTCCTAGATCCAAGTCTGACACTCTAACAATTATAATGATGACAAATTGCTGTAAAGTTCACAAATCACAATGAATATACAATAATAACTAGTACAGAATTGACGCTTGATGATGTTTATAATTTCTATGTTTTCAGAACACAGGACGTCAAATACGGAAGGTGAGCGATACGAACATCTCGGGTGGTTGTTCGTTTCGAGACAACTCTTTTTCAACCAAATTCAGTTCTCTGGTTGTCTTATTGTGTTTAGCTGTGATATCAATCTTATCCAACATCCGTAAAGCACATAGGCTAACAAGTTTTAACAGCACAAGGGCTAACAAATTCTAAATTCGGACAACAAGTCTTCATCCCCAGTGAGGAAAACCAGCAACAAACTGCTTTGAATTGCTGGTCCCCCTCGTATATATTTATACTCTAACAATTATGCCACATTGTCTGTTTGTAATCACAAATGTAGCCCATTTATTTATTCATTAGTGGGATGAAAGGTTGAGGACATCCAGAACTGGCGTCTGCAGTTAAATTCAGTGGAAATCCCCCCCCCCATATACACACTGCCCTTGAGATCAGAAACCAAATGGCCCAAGAGACTGAACCGCGTTCACCTGCTCTTTCTCTGAGCTGCCCATCTTATTCTCTCCTTGTCCATTGCTTTCATCTACAAAAAGCAAGCTGCGTGCCCTCTGGAAAAGCACGAAAGACACCATTGTCTGCCGGTCACATTAGAAGGTGTGCAGCAGGTGAATAAGCCCCGGATACTATGGCTGTAATCCTTCACTCCTGCAATAATCTTTTTTTTTATCATGGGGAATAATCTCGCTGCGTTTTGTGCTCCTAAGGACAGCAGAGGGGAGCTGGGCTCCTGCCGTTGTTTTGCATCAGCTTTCAAAGAGGAAAGAGCCGCTGGGAGTTTGCACCTGAAACTCTTGCTGTTTGGCTGCACTTCTTTTTCAGACCTGCCTGGGGCTTCTCTCTCTCTCTCTCTCTCTCTCTGTCTCTCTCTGTCTCTCTCTGTCTCTCTCTGTCTCTCTCTGTCTCTCTCTGTCTCTCTCTGTCTCTCTCTCTCTCTCTCTCTCTCTCTCTCTCTCTCTCTTAAACAGGGTCCTTGAGTCTTGCTCTAACCTTGAGTGGTTTAGCAGAAGGTGGGGATGGGAAAGCGTCAGGCTTGGGGATTGAATATCCTATCCAAGGGGCTATTTCTATCCTGCTTGTCCTGTACCTGTAACATGAACTCCGGGCTATTGACAGAAGAGCCGTCCTTCTGGATCCCTGTAACCCTTTCCCTTCCTGAACTTCTCCCTTCTTGTTTTATGGGATTCCTTCCCCAGCCATCTGCACAGCAGGTGCCAACACTAACCTGCTCAGCAGGAGAGTTGTCTCCACACAAACAGCCCGTCCTCTTGCCCTGGGTTTTATGGGACCTCCTTCTCCTTGTGTGGGGCTTACAGGAGCAGCAGAAATGGGCACACCAGAAGGATCACGGTTACAATCAACTTATAAACAATACTTGACGTCTTTCACGTTCTGTCTAGTCTGTCTCATCTTATCCCATCCTTCCTCCTTGGTTCTCTCCGCTTCCATTTTACCCTTACAGGAATTCTGTGAGGTAGGCCAGGCTGAGAGAGTGGTGGTGGGCCGGAGATCATCCAGCAAGTTTCAAGCCTGGTTGTAGGTGATATTCTCATTCATACATTGTCTTCTCTTAATCGTTTCAACTGTCCTTTACAAAGTAGGTTTGTCTCATTTGTCTCCACTTTGCGGATGAGGGTGTGGCCAGAGAAGAGTGGTTTCCTGTTGGTCATATAAATGGGTTCAGGGGGAGGTGATTTTTGAACTTCCTGGCTCATAGGTCACGTTCTTAATATTCTGCTGCCACACTCCCGTTTTATTTTATTTATGTCATACCCCCACAGTGGATTCCAAAGACAGCTCACATTCTCCTGAGAGCAACTGACACAGCAAGCTTCCATGGCAAGGGTGGGGGTTCAAATCTGGGTCTGCCAGATCCTAGTCTAGCCGCTGTACCCATTCCAACACTCTACCAATAGTGATGTGTTCTGGTATCGGTAGCTTCCTGTTCACCTGCCCCTTATCCTCAGCAGCCTGGTACTCTGGTACAACTGCCCATTTGCTCTGGCTATAGACTAGCAAGCTGCAGATGTAGCCCTGAAGCTGAGCAGCGGAGAAATGGGGGGGGGGGGGGGGGGGGGAGGTTGTTTTTTTAACCTCTTGCTGCCTTACATAGTGTAGGAGAGGTGGGGGTGCAGTCCCCTGGTGCTCTTGTAACTGCACAAGAATACTGCAAGGGGCTTTGCCCCATTGGCAGCTCAGCTAAGAGAGTATTCTAGGGGGTGATTAACCAAGGAAGACTGGCCCATTATCAGGAACAGGTCTGTTGTGGCAACAACAAAGGAACAACAAGAGATGTATGCAAAGTTTACCAACTCTGGGTTTTGAAATTCCTGGAGATTTGGGGGCGGAGAGTGGGGTTTGTGGAGGAGAGGGACCTCATGCCATAATTAAATTATTTATAATTTAATAAATAATAAAATAGAGTCTGCCCTCCACAGGAGCTGCTTTCTTCAGGGGAACTGGTCAATGTAGTCTAGAGATTTGTAATCCTGGAAGATCTCCGGGCCCCACCTGGAGGCTGGCAACCACAGGCCCATTTATTACCTCCTGCATTGTTGGCCAAATCCAGGCTTAACAGCCTCCATTTGGTTCAGGCCTAGCTGGCTTCTGGACAGTGTGTGTATGTGTGTGTGTGGGGGGCGGAATGGAGACAGGTGAGCCTATGCCTTTCGATGGGCCCACCAGGAGGGGTCTCTTAGCCTGGATTTTTCCTGGGCTGTTTTAAGAGTTAAGTCCACCTCTGGTTATGGATTAGGATCAGGGGAAGCACACTCCACCCCAGTTGGATTTCTCCCCCACCTCAACTCTTGGTGTCAAAGTGGTCAAAGGCCTTAAAAGCCTGAAGCATCCTTGACTCTGAGTGAGGTGCTGGGAGGCCAGTCTCTCTCTCTCCCTGATGCTCAGCTGCTCAACATTTGGTGCCTCCTGACAGGCAAGTGACATCCTCCACCTTTATCAGCTAGTTCTTTTTTTTTGGGGGGGGGGAGGTGACGGGAGAGTAAAAATTGCTATTTTCAATTTGAAAATTCCTGCATATGAAGGGAGCCCCTGCAGGCGTGATGTTTATTTATCACATTCTGAAAGCAACTGCGAATCTCAGGATTCTGTAGCTGCTGAGGGACCCTACCCCAGCCTTTTGGCCCAATGGCCATGTTTTAATGGCTTATAGAAATAAAAATACACTTAGCCGCCCCGCCCCCCCAGTAGCAGTCACAAAATCCCCCTCCCCTTTTAGAGAGCTTTCATGGCCTTGCTAGAGTGACTGTTGGAGTCCTTACTGAGGTGTTCAAGATGTGTCATCATGACTATACCACCACAGATGGGGGGAGGGGGGCTTATGTTTCAAACACTTCCTTACATAGTTGTCAAGAAGAAGGTCCTAGCCTTGCTCCTTTTCTGTGTGCAGGGATTTTTGTGTCAGGTGGAGGGGCATTCCATCATGTGAGTTCTCACCTGTTCTGAAGTGGTACAGTCCTGAAAGAGGCTGACTTCCTCAGTGAGAACTACATCTGTAGGTGTAGTTAGGAGGCTGATGCATATCAGTTTTTCAGTTTTGCTAGGGTCATGGCTTCTAGGATGGGGTATAAGGAGAAAGGAAATGCCCTGTTTCAAGGGCACCCTTTGACACACACCCTCCCCACAGTTCAAATAACTATAAATTCCCCATTCTCTTGTGTTTGAGAATTCCAAAGCTGACCCATCATCTCCCCTTGCTGCCATCCTCGGGAAACCTTCAGCTATGCAGTTTATTTTGGTTGGCATTACAAGGTATCTGAATTATTCAGCTTGCTGGGCCCAGTGGCGGCAGCGGCGGGGGGGGGGAGACTTTGGACTGTAACCCAGATCCTCCCCCCACTCGACAGGATGGTGATAAAAAGACCTGCCCAGACCAGCTGAGGGGGAGTGAGCGTTGTGACTCTGGAATAGGGGGGACCATGGAGATCTTCAGCATTCAGCAGTTGGTAAGAGGCTGGAAGGGGGGTGAGGGGGGGCATTCCAGATAAGTTGGTAGTGCGAGGTGGAGGGCTTTGACCTCCCTTGGCCATGGGGACAGAACTGGTTCCCATTTGTATGGGTAACTTGTATGTGTCTGAAGAATAAGGATACGGGGATTTACAGCAGAACCATTAGAGGGAGAAGGAAAGGCTCAAGGTTCTCAGCAAGATTTAAAGACCTGCTTATCGGGGCCAGATACTGTTTTATTTATTTGCTTTATTTATAGCCCTCCTTTCTCTGTGAGACTCAAGGCAGATTAAAGAATAAATGGCAAAAAAAAAGGCCACGTAGGATAACAGTCTTTTGTTGGATGTTAACAGTCTTATCCACTGGGACAAACTGGCACCCGTATGGATCCAGGGTTGTCTGAATCCATGCCTAGCATGGGAGCCAATCCAGCCTCTCCAGTCCCCTTCTTCCACACATCCCCACTCCCAGGCATCATGATGGATGGCTGTGGCTTCCCTGGGTAGTCTATTTGTTTCAGCACAAGTATCGGGATGGAAAGCACCGTTTTACCGGTGCTGGGGAATGGCCCATTAATCAGCTTGCCATGTTCAGCCACGCTGCAGAGAACAAGAGTGACTTTTCGCCACTTTTGTGTCACGGAGAAACCCCGGCTGCATCTTTAGCATGAGAAAACCCATTCCTTGGCAATCCCTGGTTGCAGGCATCGCCCCGTGGTGTGGGTAGCTCACCTGGCACTCTCTGCAATGCGGATGGGTTTGGTGGCTGGGTTCATGGTACAGCAGAGAGTGCACTGGATTGCTTCCCGTTGGAGTACATCTGCCTGGCGTAAATCCACTGGGACAGACAGAGAAATGGCCTCTTTGTACCTTTATAGAAGCTAAGACCAGGACTATCTGTAGAGAATTAAAACGTGGCACTCGGGCAATCCAAAGCCTGTGCTGAGAAAGGCTACCTTCTGTGCCTTGTAGGATGTCAACTGAGCAGATTTGTACTGCTTATTTTATTTAGTATAAATAATGCTCGTTTTACTTGCTGTGGGAGAGGCAAGGAGGTGAAAGCCCCACTACGCCCCCAATCTTATGCCATTCCTCCTCTGAGATTTCAGCAGGCTGCCTACCTGTCAAGGATACCTTTTCAGCCATAAAGGTTGGAGACTTTCTTTTTTAAAACATTAAAGCTGAGGTTAGAAAGCTCAGTTTCTACTGGGATTGCCATGTTCAGTGCTTTTGCTTTGGAAATGTGTTCCTTGCACAACCCTCACTCAGCTCTGCTGCCTTTCCAAGGAGGGCCAAGATTTCACCTGCAGGGACCCAGAAAGAGGCCATTTTCCTGCCCCCTGTGGTTTTCGAGTTCTGTGCCTGTCTTGGCTCTTGGTCAGCCGAGTTTGATGCCCTTCAGAAAACTGAAAGGGCAGCCTTCTTAATCACTCACATTCTGGTCCAGAGCGGATGATTCTCACCGGTTTTCTTTTTTTGATGTTCCAGCTTTACTCTTAATTTTATATCCTTTAATTTAAAAAATCAGAGTTGTCACTCAGTCAAAGAACTCTCAGTTGATTAATCATGTTAGGTTCAATCAGTCTAGGAATTCATTAAATTTGCATATGAATAAAAGAATAGTTGAAACCAAAAGAATACTTTGGTTTTAGAAAAGGCAGATGCGAGCTGCAGCAGATCTCTCATCAAAGAAAGAGGGATTCTGCTCTGGTGCTTGAAAGAAGACAGCATGCACCCCACTTCTTGGCTCACTATGGTTTTTATAAGTACTTGTATTAGCAATACTTCTTTTTGGAAGCTGCTGCCTCATTAATTAGGGGACACATTTATTAAGTCTATATCAGAATTTTAAAATTTATCTGACTGCTATTACAGCCCTAATAACAGTATGTATTCTTATAATGATCAGGCCAAGAGGTTTTGCTTTGTGTGGCTGCTTGGAGACCTTTTAGTTGTAGTGAGCAGAAGGACGGCTGGTAAACCTGGGAGCCGTGAACCCATATAGTTGCCTTCTATTGAGTTAGACCACTGCTCTGTCGAAGTCATCTGTGTCCATTCTGACTGGAGGCACCACTCCAGTCTCCGGCAGAGGTCTTCCCCAGCGCCCACTACTTGATCCTTTGAACTGGAGATGATGCTGGACCTTAGCACTGAGCCACACCTCCTCCTCAGCTGGGAAGATCAGAAAGTTGGGCATTTGCTAGGATCCCAAGACTACTAAAGGGCTCACCAATCCAACAGTTTGCATGGGGTACCCAGGAAGGGGAGGGGCAGTGAGAGAGACCTGGATAGCCCTGACCTGGGTAGCCCAAGCTTGCCTGATCTTGTCAGATCTTGGAAGCTAGACAGGATCGGACCTGGTTAGTTTTTGTGTGGGTGACCTCCAAGAAATACCAGGGTCGTGACACAGAGGCAGGCAACGGCAAACCACCTCTGAAATGTCTCTTTGCTTTAAAAACAAGTCTAGCTTGCCACCTAGTGGTGCATAATGCTAAAAGAGCTATAACTTATGGCTCCTAGAAAATCTTAGGATTTCCTGGCTATACTACACACACTGCCATACAATAATTAATTATAATTAGAGCAGGAGAGAATTCCATTGAAGTCTGCTTCTTACGGTTTAAGGGACTCTCCTGAAAGCCCCCCCCCCAATCCTAGAATCAGCATCACTGCCAAGGACTTTGAATGTACAATCGACCCTATATATGGTAGTTATCTCTGTTGGCCTTGATATCATCTCTGGGTGGATTTCATAGCTCCATAAGGGGAAAAGACCTGTAGTTGAATAACCCAAGATGGGATGTGTGGCTGAAACCCCCTGGAATTCCTTGTTGGTGTTTACAGGGGAACCTCCCCCCCCCCAGGATTGTAATTGTGCCAGCAACTCTACCAAAAGCACCTGTGTGAGAGGGTTGGGCAATGTACCAGTTGCTTTTATTTTGGAAGTTACGTCAGGCTGAAGCCCTTGGCCTGCCTCATGCTGGTGGCCCAAGGCCTCGTGCGATTTGGCTCCTGGTAGCAGGTTAACCTAAAAAGGAAGGAAGCCACATCTTGGTGTGACCTAAATCATCCAGGCAAAAGAAGACATTCCTTTTATACTTGGACTAGGGCGAAGTGATCTCATTACTCCAGCGTCCCCTGGGCTGAGCCCCTCTGTTCATTAGCCTGTGGAGATTTTACGCTCCCCGCACCGATTATCTGCCGGAGGCACCACAGTGTCTGCATGGACCCTGTTGATGACAATGCTGTTTTGCCCTTGCTGGCCGTGGGGAATGGCATCTCATCCCCGTGATGTTTATTCCTCAGCCAGAACTGTGTACATATCAATATAAATAGAGGCTGGTTTCATTGGGCCCTGGGGACCCACAGCAGCTGGAGGCATGGGTGGAATCCTGCGAGCTCCGTTGAGGAAGCTGAGACTTTTCACACTTGGTGGGGGCTCTGGTTGGGTCAGCAATTTGCAAGAAAGGGACACTCTCTCAGCTGGGGACTGACTGACCTCAGGAAAGGATCAGTTAAGGGCAGATCAGGAAATAAACTAGTCTCTCTCACCGGCTGCTGAGGAGTCCTGAGGCAGCTAAGTGCTAAAGCTTCACTAATTCAGATGAGGTCTGCACCTGCTTCTTTGGGCATAACTGCTGGAGTGAGTGTTGAACCCGAGAGAGCATCATATTAGTATCCATATAATTTACTTGATTTCTAGACCACTTTCATTAAAAAAAATATTCAAAGCAGTTTTCACATTAAACCCATCAACAGCAACTAATTGTAAAAGGTAGCAGAAATATTTGTCATAAAAGGTACCAAAAAGATTCATTTTACATAAAAAACCCAGAATAAAAGCCATAATTTCGAGCCATCATTAAAAGTCTGCCAGAAGGAGGAGAATTAAAAATTCACCTTGTCTTTCAATAGGAGGAAATTCCACAGTGCTGGGGCAACTACAGAAAAGGCTCTGACCTTTGTGGTCATCAGACTGCTGGTTGCTTGTATTTTTTTTGGAGGGGGGATTTGTATGCAGTTATGACTGCTTCACACCCATCCTCTCAAACAGAGGAGTATCAGTCACCTGTTCTACTCAGATTTGTGGTTACATTATATTCCTTCCTGATTTCCTCCACATGGTAAAACTGAAAGAGACAATCACCACAGTTAGGAAAGCACATGCTACAACCCTTTGGAATGCAGCCAGTTGAGTGTTCAAATGTTCTGCACGGGAGCCAGAACATTGAGAAGATTAGCTTTGAAGTTTGTTTCTTAGCACACCAGTTTTCTTAGAACAAGGAATTTTTTAAAAAGAAACCTAACTTTTTTTTAAACTCAGGTTTTGCAGCCTGGGGGGGAAAACCTAATTCTTTTCTCTATAAAGACCATGATTACCTCTTGGGACCCAAAAGGACCAAGACTCTTACATAATGCTATCATCACAATTACCTCTGCTTGACCATAACAACACTTGAATAATACTAACATGAGACCTCTACAGAGGATATTTCAACACTGAAATCAACCTGTGTAGAGGGCACAGGTACAATGGTCCCTACACTACCCCATCTATATGTGAGGCCAGTCTATGGAATAGCGATGGCAGACACTCTTCCCAAGACAGGGAAGGGCGGTTCGCACGCCAGCGGCCTGTAGGGGTGCCCCCTCAAGTGACACCCCTGAGGAGCCTTTGTGATAGGCTCCAGGTCAGGGGGCTTTTGAGGGGTAGCCAATGGCGTAATGCTGGAGAATTGAAGATCCCCTCCCCCCCGACTTGTCCAGTCGCTGAGTGGCCTTCGGGCATAAGCTGGACTGACCAGGACAAGCGCCGGAGATCAAGCGGAATGGTGTAAAACTGAGCGTGGTCAGAGAAACTGACCGACAATGAACATGAGTTCTGAATAAAACGGAGTAGTTTGAAAAGCGACACCCCCCCCCCGCGTGGTTGAAAACAGTGATTGCAAAGAGGGACGCCTCTTATGCGAATGAGCAGCTAACAAACACAAAGGGGGAGAGGGGAGGAAGTAAACCAAAAGTGTTTTGAGAGACTTATCTGAATCAC